TCCCAAGTGCAAACAATATATTATGTGTCCTTGATCTTGCTCCTCTGCACTACATGTTTCGGCCTCAGACGGCCATCATCAGGTGTATAACACTCACGTTGCTGTCACACTGCACCCAGCCCAAAATTTAACATTTAAACGACTTTCTTTGTTATTATCAACATCTACTTCGTTGATATCAGTCTGGTTTGTAGATTATTTTACACACGTTAATTTTGACGTTCCTGTAGTAGCACTATAAAATCTTTAGTTCTAATTTTAAAATCTTTTAAAATTTTTCTCTAAATTTAATTTAATTTAATTTAGAGAAAAAAATCTTATCGAAAAAGAAAAGACATCAATATAACACCATCCAAATAAAAAAGTCCCATAAAACAAAATATATGTAATGGTTTTCAGTACAAAAAACGGAATGGGTCACCTACATATACAGAGGCAAAGAAGTACGAAAAGTCACGGAACTATTCCAAGACACGCATATAAAAATAGCTTTCCGCACACGAAACACAATACAAAACGTGTTAAAACACATTCACAAACATGTAAATGCTACAGAAGCAACATTTCTCGAATGAAATGCCTAGACTGTCCAATAAAATATTGTGACGTGGATGGCGCAACGGGAAGTATGGATCACGTGAACTCTGGGGTCTCGCGAATGACGTCACATACCCCTATCCCTTCCATTATTACGCAACGCTCGGTAAACACTCCGTCGCCTCCCGCGGTGACGTAACAGCACTTCCCACAGTAACGTAACAGGGGACACTGCGGTTATTACGCAGCAATAAACAACTCTCGGCAGCGTTCCTCAGCAACGCCTTTAAACACGGCGTTTACGCAACAGTGAAGCGATGTGGGTTTTCCGCTGTCAGACTGAGGGTTTATAAGAGTTACTAGAGAGAGAGAGAGAGTAACCAGTCAGTTGCAGTCTAGCATTCGCCGAATCCAGTGAAGTCCAGCAGCCACGAGATGATTTGCATCGAATGATNGGCAGTTTTTTCATATTCAGGGCCGTTGCAAACCTATAAATCTGTAAAAATCTGGAGATCGACGTTTTTCGCCATCACCGTTCTTTCTCGTGCTACTTCTACAGTAGTGATTTGAAGGTCTAGTTTGTGTTGAGATCCGTTGCTAGGAGCCGAGTAGTGAAGACGGAGAATCTTTGTGCAACAGTGAACTGTAAATTGTGTAAATCAGCGATAGCACCGTATTAATTATAATTAAGAGAGAGAGTGTAACCGAAGTGTTAATAAATCCAATCATCCAAACTAGAACCCGTTATTTTCGTCACGCGTACCACAATACACTTGACAATATTTTAACGGAAATTTTAGTTAATTAAATGTGGATTATTATAAGCTGACCGCCTCTGTGGTCTAGTGGTCAGAGTTCCTGGCTACAGATCCAGAGGTCCGGGTTCGATTCCCGGGGCTACCAAATTTTCTGAGAAGTAGTGGGTCTGGAACGGGGTCCACTCAGCCTCATGACGATAATTGAGGAGCTATTTCAAGGAAATAGCGGCTCCGGTCTTGAAAACCGAAAGTAACGGCTGTGGGGATTCGTTGCGCTGACACCCTCTATCTTCTAAAGTTGGCACTAACTTCGCCGGGAAGCGGCGGTCTCTCGGTCGTTATAGTTCGCTTGCGGACTAAAACCATGGAGTCTGTTTTGTTTGGAGTTTGTTTTAGTGTCAACTGAATTTATATTGATATTGTTGCATTAGAGATGTAGACAATTTTAAGTGAGACTTCAATGCAACAGGATGCTAACATATAATACTCATTTAAGATTCACATCAATACTAGCCTTCCATCTATGTCACAGTCTTCCAAGTGATCTGCTTCCTTCAGGTTTTCCTGCCGGCATATATGTGTTGTTCAAGGGGAAACACGTGGCGCTGAAAGCGCTGGTTTAAAACGTAGCAAGAGATGAGACGAGTTAGAAGAGTTAGTTCCAGACGGGTGGATCACATCAAATGAACGTAGCACAGAAAGAATGTGGAGACATGGAGCTGGCGTATATTCTGTAATGACGGTATTCTGAGAACAGTCTTATGGACCAGGCGATTTCCTATCTTCCTGAACAAACAAAACTTTTGCACGAAAATAATACCCATTTCCTCGAACTATCTCGTGAAAATAACTGCGGATTAGTTTAACCGCTTACATCACAGTGATAACTATTCATACAAACTTTAACGTTCAAGATGTGTTCATTTACTCCACACTCGGCATTCATAAGCCCGAAATTTCGTTTGGTCCTATAAATAAAGATTGTTTCCCCACACGGAAACGGCTGTATGGCGTCTTTTCTTGGAGGCATTAACAAAGTTTTAAATTATAAATATACCATCATAGCCCTGTAAGCATTTAAAGGACAGTAGTAGTTACATATGCCACCTGCTTCAACATTAAATTCTATGTATTTTGCGAACGAGAGTATGTGCTGTTTCGGAATACACAACGACCATGTCCCTAACAACACTTGCTGATTGGTGTTTGAAATTGAAATGCAGTGTGTTTTCTGTGAGATAGGAACTGAAGTCTTAAGCATGATGTAGATGAAAGTCACATTTCAGATGGTTAAAGCGTTAAACAGGAGTCAGGGGCACGTTCAGTGGAGAACGGAGTGGGCAAGTAGGGATGAAAGTGTGCGTTAACAGTAGGGCAAATATGGCACCAACCGATCGAGGGAAAACCACTGCGTAGATCGAAACTGCTCATGCCAGACAGGTCACGGCGCACATGTAGGTCAGTTGTGGGGAAAAAAGGTTCCCTCCGGTGACGTCACACCATCGCACAAGAGGATCCGGTATTGACGAATTTACGTATAGCTCCATAGCAGTCCCGCTGTCACTTCGTCCGGTTTGGCGTTCCTTGCGTAGTTGTTTAACGACGATTTTTAGTATACGGCGGTGGATGGTAGAATAATAGATGAATGGTAAAATTGGAAAGGATTCGGAAGGAAGCGATCAGTCTAACCTAGATACTATCCCGGAACTTTGTTGAAGGGATTGGGGAAAACCAAGATAAACCTCAGTAATGGTAGCCGGTGTCCTGTTCGACAATCGAATGGTGCCCCTCCCTAATACAAGTATCGATAGATACCTTTAGACCAATGTTTCTCAAACTTTGTCAGGCCGCAGCCCAGTAAATTCTTTTTTCTACAAGACTAGGGCCCGGCGGTTGAGAAACACTGTTCTAGACTAACCCGCCCGGTGGGTTCGAGTCTCTAAGCGACTAAATACAACGTCCGGTAAGTTCCTACACTTCTTGAACGTGGTCGGTTTGTGTTCAAGTAGAATGATACAGTATTTCTTAAGAAGCTGATAGTCGTCCATCTTATGAAGAAGTCTCACGCCTTACGTGGTCTGGCAATAAAGTTCCTGGGCAGGTATGAGAAAATATAAGAAATAAAAGGAAATATAAAAAATCTAGTCAAAGTAACCCCCGTCCACTTGAACACATTTGTTGAATAGTTTAAATAGTCTTCGGAAACGCTCAGCAGAGACTTCCCAAGGAACAGTGTTCAGTTCGGCAGTCACGTTTTTCATAACGCCTTCAGAATCCTGAAACCCTCTTTCCTTTGAGAGCAGTTTTCACCTTAGGAAAGAGTAAAGGTAACCAAGAACCTGGGACGGTCTTGACAAGTCTGGATGAAGCCTTGGCGTGATGCGAGTCTCCGTTGCTTCTGCTCCTCCGTGAGTCTGTGTGGGACGAACTTTCCGCACATCTTCCTCTCCTGCAAATCTTCAGGAAGGATTTGACGTACCGTCTCCGCATTGATGTTTCATTCATCCGCCATCATTGTGGGAGCCCACTGACGTTCTCGCGTCACCATTTCACGGACATCTGCGACTGTGTCTGCATTTCGAGAAGTTGAAGGACAGTCCTGAAGATCCTCACACCTATCTTTAAACGTTTAAACGATTCAAGTGCCCGGTAACGGCTTGAGGTTACATCACCACAGACAGTCTGCAACGTTTCATAAGTTTCTGTTGGTGTTTTATCCAGTTTAAAACGAAATTCGGTATCCACTCGTTGCTCCATGGTTAAAAAGTGAAAGCAGTTAAAACACAACTAAATCACTGAGCTGGTACTCATGAATTGTCAGTGACTGGACTTGCTGACCACTGCCAATTGTTGGTGAGAGGTAGAACTACACTCAGACGGTAATAGCTCGTTTTACCGCGAACGCTGCGGCACCAGCAAGGGAACCTCATTGTCAGACCACGTGTATGGAACCAGAAGGTCTATTCCCATGTTCATAACAACCCACATCCAACATCAGACCATGTGGTACTAAGACAGGATTTCTCTAAGTGCTTCGGTTTCCCCTGCCAATTCTCATTCCACCAACTCATTGATTAATTATGATATCTTCCTACGTTACATATTCTCGATACTAACAAATTCGTTAAGTAACCAAAATTAAATAATTAAATAACAGTCTACAGCTGGATCATATCTTGGGCCAATAGAATCCACTCCACACTCTCGCAGCCTAGTTTTCAAAGATCTAGTTGAATAGACCTATATAATGTGGTTCTCTGGTTTTAGACATCGTGTAGTCTGTAGGTGGATACCAACGTTTCTGAGGCAACTACTACTTCCATCTTCAATCTTAAGATGCAGGCAATATGTTCCTTCGAAACGTCGAACCCCACCCAAAACATTACACGGTACGCCTGTAACAGCCCAGAAGACTTCTTCACCACCGTGAGAATTTCCCAGTTCAGTATCACTCTTCCGTCTAAGCTACGTCTCCTAAAGCACACAAGGCCCCGAAGTCACATTTGGCTGTATCACGGACATGTCACTGCGAGCAAAATATTTCTTACGTAAGCCATGCACTTGTTATTCTACAAAAGTTGTCGTCACGTGGAGACCGTCGTGGGGAATCCCCGCGTGCACTCACGTAACTCACTTCCTTCGAGGACACAGTCATATGAATGCTGTCACCAAGTAGGGCGGAACAGCAGTGACGTCTAGACTTACATTTGGGAGATGCTCTGCTCTAATCTCAGTTGGAACACCTTGACTGAGGTTCTTCATAGTTTTCCTTTGTCTGTCCAGGCATTTGTCTGAAGAGCAACTTAATTCGGTCAGAATCGCTTTCCCCTAACTTAACATTCACCACCATCGTACCATTCGACGAGGCCGGCAGCGTTGTAAATTAAAGCTGCAAAAAGACGAATTGTTCCCTTAGGGATTTATGACCAAATTTATTGGTTAACATACTGGCAGGTAGTATGAGTGACTACAGGCGGGGTTTTAGATAATTGGATTTATTGATCACTTACAGGCCGTATCTACAAATGACTATAACACTATAGTTGATTTCCAAATTTTACAAATCACTACAGCACAAGCTATGTCTTTTCAAGCTTGCAGTGTTTTCATTGGACGTTTTCTAGTAGCGGCTTCTAATAATGGCTATTCCTCTTCTTCCGTGCTCAAGTCCTATCTGAACGGCGCCTCCCTTCCTACAGTACTATTATTGCTTCACTTGTCCTCCTTATAACGCTATCGCGCAGACCGAGTAGAAGACATCTTTTCCAACAGTACGTCTGTGGTTGCATGCATATTCGTTGCAGTGGGAATGTGTTTACCGAGACGTTGCCTAGAAACGGCTCTACACGCTACAATACTTTTCGATCGCATAGGGATCTATTATTACACGAAGCTCAAATAGTGCCGCTCAGCATTCTCAGGAAACAAAAGGATCATCACAGAAGAAAATAGCACATTACACGGAATATGGGACACGAAAATCTTGCCCTGCTATACATTTGTATATTGGTGTAACACCCATTGAGGATTCAACTGGAAGTCCCATCAATTGTATTACGTATTAACTTCCCCTGCTTTCTTTCGTGTTCCTTTCCAATCCAACATATTATCATGTCTTAGTGACTCGACAAGGGGTTTGGATTTATAATTGGATTTATTGAATACTCAGAACTCGCAACTACAAGTAACTATAACAATTTCACGCATCTACGCACTTAACAAATCACAACAGCACATGCTAAATCTCAGTTTGTTTTCTTCGCTCGCCTTGCTTGGTTACCTTCTTCAGTAGACGTCTCTGGGTTACGGCTTCTAAAAACGGAGATTCTTCACTGCACGTCACTAGGTTACAGCTGTTAACAACGGACATTCTTAACGGCCAATCACGCACTTAATAGCTCTCGAACTGCACACACCAGCTTACGACTCAAAAGTCAACCTCTTCGGTCTGTCGGTTAAATTGCTGCTGGCTTTCGCCAGCACAATCATTCATGAATTCAGTCTCCTCGAGATCCGTGACCAAGAACTTTGTTCTCTCCAAGACAAGTATGTGTTTAGAAATGGGGTCCTCTCTTCGACGAGTGGACAGGTTGGCCTTTCTGTCTAGATACTACGATTGATGCATCGCAGTTTCAGCACGAGTATATCCGCGTTGTCACGGCGTCCAGGTCACTATGGGCTCTGTGTCACTGCACTGCACTGTACTGTACAGGGGTCGGTGTTTCTATGTAGGCGCTACGTTTGTTGCACCGCAGTTTCAGCACGAGTATATCCGCATTGTCACGGCGTCCAGGTCACTATGGGCTCTGTGTCACTGCACTGCACTGTACAGGGGTCTGTGTTTCCATGTAGGCGCTATGTTTGTTGCATCGCAGTTTCAGCACGAGTATATCCGCATTGTCACGGCGTCCAGGTCACTATGGGCTCTGTGTCATTGCACTGCACTGTACTGTACAGGGGTCGGTGTTTCTATGTAGGCGCTTCTTTTGTTGCACCGTAGTTTCAGCACGAGTATATCCGCGTTGTCACGGAGTTCAGGTCACTATGGGCTCTGTGTCACTGCACTGCACTGTACAGGGGTCTGTGTTTCTATGTAGGCGCTATGTTTGTTGCATCGCAGTTTCAGCACGAGTATATCCGCATTGTCACGGCGTCCAGGTCACTATGGACTCTGTGTCACTGCACTGCACTGTACAGGGGTCTGTGTTTCTATGTAGGCGCTATGTTTGTTGCATCGCAGTTTCAGCACGAGTATATCCGCATTGTCACGGCGTCCAGGTCACTATGGACTCTGCGCATACTCTGTCGCTGCACTAAGCAACATTTATACAAAGTATACATAGGTTTCCTGCCAATGCAGGCTTGTGCAGCAGGTTATGCTATGCAACAACTCTGAAACTGCAGTTAGTCTTCTGAATTGCCGTAGGTGTGAGAGCCGCGAAGTTGTTGGCAATTATTGCTCCATCTACATCAACTGCAATTATACTACAATGACTGTGTTTCTGGATAATATTCAGCGCCATATTTTTCTCTCTTCTTGAACACGCAACGTTTCGGAGACTGAATTCTGTCTCCGTCCTGAGGCAAAGGGCTGTCCCCCATAGCTGAATCCCATATGTCCGTATGGGTTTCAGTACTGCTTTGTATAGGAGGAGTTTGCTTTCTACTAATAGTGTTAATTGGTGGAAACACCAAAACTATGGTTAAAATTTGACGTAATTAACGGACAATATTATATTTAAGCATCCTGTTACACTCTACACAATGTATGACACAAACTCCGTCATAAGCACAACAATTTATTGTAGTTCTTCTGTCTTCTTTTCTTCTACACTACATGTTTCGGCCGTAAATGGCCATCATCAGGTGCATACTTTCACGTGGCTGTTACACTGCATATCTTCAATTTAAATTAAAAAATAATGTTTTAAATTAAAAAAAAATTAAATTGAAGATATTAAAAATACCAAAATTAAACAATCAAATTGACGTATGTAAATTAACAAAGATTTTATACATATCTGACAGATATCAGCAGGGGGATTCTGATATATCGGGACGTATTAACAACGGAGAAATGAACAATTAAGAAATCTGGTGTTTTTAAATTTTAAACTACATGTAGTGTAACAGCTACGTGAGAGAAATACACCTGATGATGGCCATTTGCGGCCGAAACATGTAGTGTAGAAGAAAAGAAGACAAGAGAACTGCAATAAATTGTTGCACTTAGGACGGAGTTTGTGTCATACATAATTAACAGACACTTTACATGAACATTTGTCGGAACAATAAATGTTTCGAACGAATACTGTAGAGAGAAAGAAAATATTTGTTTAATGGCCAATATATTTTTTCTTAAACAGTATGGCTGTCGAAATAATTAAACCAGAGGAACGCTAAGTTAAGCTCCTTATCATGTACATGCAATAGAGTGAGACAATATCCGACATTATTAGACAGTGCAATTGCAATGAGTGTGAACAATACCATCGTTTTTATATACTCGTAGCGTACACGTCCTTTTCAACACATGTACTCTAGCTGCCCACAAGCTTCTGTATGCCCTCATAAAATATGTTCTTTGTTGAATGATAAGCCACGCATGAGAAGGTTCCTTCACTCCTTGATCAATGACGAAATGGCGGCCTATCAGAGTGTCTTTGTGTGGATCAAACAGGAGCCAGCTAAGGTTTAGACCTCCAAATTCAGCTGGCTTAGTCTTTCAGCGGTGTGGACGAGAATTGTCGTGCAATAGTTGAGTTCAACTGGCCTCGAAGCATTTCATTATAACTGTTTACTGTTGTTCTCGTCATGTGATATTGTTCCAAAACTGGCCCTTGCAAATCCACCCCCCCAAAATATAAACATCACTTATCCCGCCAATGGTTTGAGTTTTGAACACTTGTTTCACTCGCGATGTCAGATGTTTCCATTTCATACTCTGGCGTTTGTTTTCCGGAGCGTAATAGGGGATCCACGTCTCGTCTCTAGTGACAATACGTCTCAAAATGGCGTCATCGTCGTTATGATATCGGTTCAATCGGCCTTGGCAGATTGCCACACGGTTACTTTTGTGCTCTCCTGTGAGTTGTTCTGGAAAACATAATGCACAAAATTTATGAATCAGTCTTGGATGATTCCATGAGCATAGCCGTGACTGACGCACCCGGAAATCCAGCAGAATGTTTCTGAAAGTGGTTACAGAAATTCAAAGTTGTCTGGGATGTGGCTGAACCATATGAAACCAACAACTGAAAGCAAAGAGTTGCTTGTCCTAAGTGGACACTCTACACATTAAAATACTTCGGCGGCTCTAGAGCTAATTCGAACATTAAGGATCATGCCGTTGCAATTACCGGGCCACACAAACATCGTCTCCAACCTTCAGACGTTGCCACTGTCAAACATTTAAAAACATTCCACGAGCAGATAGATAATCAACACACGGCTCCGTTTCAAGATCAGGCTACCTGTCATTCATCTCCAGGCGTCTTGTTTGCTACCAGAAGCTTACAGCAGCACCATTATTCAAGGCAGGAAATGGTTTTCGGTAATCTTCGCTGTGGCCTCTTGGCCCAAGTGTACTCGTATTTGCAGAAAATTACTTCATTCCCAGTGGAAATCTCATCACATCTAACAACATTCTTAATGGTAAGCATGTTGCAGCAGTGCATCCCAGGCTGGAGCAGATCAACTGCGGGAAGTACAAAGCAATGCAGCTCGCACTACAGACTGTTCTGTCTCGATCGATAATACATCGCGGGTTCCACAACCTGCAGCACACTACGGACACATTGGAGGGGGGGACTGGAGCTCGAAAAGCTCGAAAAGCCTGTATAATGATTACCTCAAGCATTCAAATGGAAAGCAAAACACGCAAGAATTAGAACGATAGGAAAAGCACTCGAAGAGGCGCACGCTTTCTACATATGAAGTTTAAAATGAAGTTGTAACTGAAGTGAATCATGATGAGAGTACTTGTATCTGTGTCAGAAAGCAATGGTATTAGGTACGGTGTGTTGTCAGCACTGTGGGAAGTGGGCGCATGCGCCATATTCCGGATAATGCAAGAAGAGTTCTGACTCATTTGTAATTTTTCTGTTCTATATATAAGTTCTAATGCTTGGAGCAGACATCACATGCTCTCATGACTCCATATTCGTACTGTTGGAGGGTATGCATATCACCTATTCACTTGTAAAGCGTTTCACCATTACCT